CAGAGGGACACTGAGCCCAAGGCTGGGGTCCAGGAGACCCTGTTCAAGGTGTAACAGCCTCTGAGAATCCTGCTAGCCAGGGATGCCTGGGGACCTGAAGGCAGCTGTAGTCAGTGTGAGTTGAGGTGGGGTTCTGCCGAGGGAATAGGGGATAATCTTAGAGGTTCATCCTGGGGCCCAGAGTACCTCCAGGATTAAAGTATGTGGGTTTTCTGATTGGGGTGGGTAGGTGGGGGGCGAGCACATCAAAGACCTAATTGCCCCTCTCTTGCCTCACTTCCCCCATTCCAGTTTGCAATTCCTTTAGCCCTCTTGCCAGGCCCCACCCAATCCCAAGACTGGGGCTCCTATCCCTTCAAGTCAGCTCCTTAACTCAGCCCTCCATCTTTGTTGCTCTGTATTTTTGCTTCTTTACACAATTCAGGCCAACAGGAAGGGACTGGCTCTTTTAACAGAAAAGTAAATACATTGTCACATTGTCTATTGACATTCTGGTTATCAGGGACTGTGATGTCCACTGGCTCATTCTGCTTTTTCTTAGAAATGAGATTACAGGGATGCTGTCTCATGGTGTGTGTGTGTGTGTGTGTGTGTGTGTGTGTGTGTGTGTGTGTATGTGTGTGTTGGGAGCCGCCACACATGTGTGTGTGATGGAAGCTGGATAAAATTGTTCTACCAAGAGGCTACAAAAGACCCAGAGCCCAGCTGAAGGTGGAGACCTGGTCCCTTCCCTGATCTGTCAAGCTGATGTGTGAGCAGGCCAGCTCTCCCAACCATGACCTTGTCTGAACAAGTATGGAGCTGAGTTCTTTTTAGCAGAACCATCCAAGAATGTGGAGGCTCCTTCCTCTGGGTGGAGAGTCTCAGGCTTGAGAATATCCGCTGAGAGGAATTAAGGCCAGGCAGCTGTGGGGCCAGGCAAGGCTAGAAGCTGTGAATCACTTTGTCCCATGTAGCCCCAGGCACTGGTGACCTTTGGATGAGTCACTTCTGTCAGTTTTGAGAAAAGCCATGCAGGCAGTCCTTCTGTGTGTCAGCTCAAACCCAGGCTATACACAGAGTTGTAGGTCAAATGATGACCTTTCAGTTGGCCTCAGAATAGTAGTCTACCTAGGGATTCCAAGAGCACCTGGAAAATTGGTGGTGAGTCCTAGGCTTCCAGAGGCTGATTTCCCAACCCTGGAAAGGGCAGGTCCAGCCTAGAGTGGTTCTTTAAATGGTAACCTTAGGAAAATCATTCTACTAGTGGGTTTTAAGTAAGTGTTGGGGTGTTCTGCTGCCCTACCAGAGTCCAGATTGGGAAGAGGATGGGCCTGTCCCACTGTGTCACACACATGCTAGAGCCATGTAGGCCCAATGTGGCTGTGTAGCTCCAACACTCTGGCATCATGTAGCTCATGGTTATGGAGGACATAGTTGGCATCTGGCACAGCGTTAAATACAGGACATGAGTCAGCTTAGTCCTCACTTAGCCCTGCTAAGTAGATGAGAGCATCGCCATGTAGTGAGCAGAATGCCAAGAGCCCAAGGAACTCACCCAAACCACACAGCGGAGCGCCCTTCCCTCTGTACTGGAGTTTGTATTTTAACCTCTCCCCTACAATGTCCCAGAAGCTAAAACATGCTTAAGATCTAAGATCTAATGATGAACATATGAACAGAGCATGGTGGCACATGTCTGTAATCCCAGCACTCAGGAGTCTAAGATAGGAGGAAAGCAAGGACAACGTGGGAAAGAAACAAAATAAAGAACCCTAAAGATGAACGACTGAACTACGCGGTCATGAGATGAAGGAAGGGAATCCAATTGTCTAGTAAGGGTTCACTACTCAATGGAAGTCTGGCTCTCAGCCCCACGGAAGCTTGCTCCACTTTCCTGAGTCTTCCAGGCCTGTGTCCCCAACCCCTGCACTGCTGTGGACAGAGAGGACACAGACCTAAATTTGAATTCAAGGTAAACCTTGGATTCAAAATATTAAAAGGGAACAGAAACATCCGGGAGAACTGGTCGACCTCAGCTTCTTCTGCTGAGATGGGAGCATCTGTCCTATTTGTTGGGTCCAGCTGGGGCTTAAGCTCCCTTGTAGAAGGCTTGCCTTGTAGAATTCATGAGGCCTTGGGTTTGATCATCAGCATCAAAGGAGGAGGAAGCAGACCCTTGAGAAATACTGAATATATATAAGACAAGCAGACAATCCCACAACTCAGGATAATACTCCCATGTGTGGCCCTACAGGCATTTAAAATAATCTCTTCTGACTCAGAGCCTGTCCCAGCCCAACTTTTGGTGTAGGCACCATTTAGCTTTTCTGCAAGCCCCAGAGACTTGTAATGCCTCTCTCTACCCCTTAGGCAGCCTCTGTCCACACCCAAGGCCTGCCATACCATATCAGAATACCAAGAAAGGAAATGTTCCCCCAAGCCCGATGACACTGTGTATCTAGGGTCCCTGCTCCTGCCCTTGTCCTGCAGCCTTCTCCCTTCTGGGCTGCTCATCTCTCCAGCCTGTCTCTTACTCCTCTCCCCACCCTTCCCCATGGGGCGGGCTAACAGCTAACCGTTTTAAAGGCTCTGCCTGTGCCCGGAGCAGGATGCTGAGAAGCAATGGCACACATTAGTCACAGTTCCCTGAACATACTCCACCCTTCTTGCCTGTTCTGGAGGTCTGTCTGCCCTATGCCCTGGGGGAAGTGTCCCCTCTCTACTAGACTCCTTTCCTGGGCATAGGCTCTGCTCCTTTGTCTTGCTGGCTTTTGGTCTTCTTCAGCCTCTGGATGGTTTTCTCTTCTGCTTTCTTCCCTACCCCTTTGGAACAAGGTCTCACTCCATAGCCCAGCTGGTCTTGAACTTGGGTCGTCCCATCATGCCCAACTGCTGTCTCTACTCTTTAGATCCTCTCTTGCATATTCTTGGGTTGCACGGTCCCCAAGCTCAGTGCCTTGTTTGTGTTTGATGCTAGGATGCTGGAGCAGGAACTTAAGTGTCTCAAATACACAGTGCTTTTCCACAAATTTGCTAAAGAAAAGAGCTTTAGGGTGAGGCATCACTTCCGGGACAGGGGAGTGGCCTGGGACGTGTGTTGGAAAACCTGCTCCACCCCCAAGGACTGTCTTTTCTCTCCTGGACGTCACTCAGCTGTGATCTTCCCGAAGGGCTGACAGGCCCAGTGCTATACTGTCTTCAAGCCAAAACCCACAAAAGGGCAGACTCCTGCGGCTCTCTGTTTGGGGCAGGCCCCATGTGCCACTGTGCCGCCCTTGGCCTTCCATGCCAAGAGCAGCGGTCTTGCCTTTAAAAATCAACAGCTTCTAATCCGCGGTAGGGCGGGGGTGTCTTTTTCGTATTATTCTGGTGATAATCTCTGACTGGCCCTGAAAGCTCCTCCAGCCTTGGGTTTAGACTCACTGGGAGTCTCCTGCTCTTGCCCCAAGCCCCGGGTCTAGGCCTGGACGCTGCAATGTGAAAGATGAGGGGCGTGGCCTTCGGGGAGGGGGAAGGGCTGCGGTGCTGCGGTTGTCCAGCAGGGGAGGCCAGGAAACAGCTCAGAGAGGCTCAGGTTAGCTCAGCCCCTCCCCGGCCGAGTCCTCTGAAGCCCAAGTGAGAAGTACAAGGGGCCAACAGGGGTTGGTCCTCCACTAGAGGAGGCGGAATGTGCAGAGAGGCTGCAAGGGACGGTCTGCGTGGGAGAACTCGGCGGGGCCTGCTTACTCTTTCCGGGGAGTTTGTTCACCTCTCCTGCAAACAGAACTTTGCCAGTGGCCTTTAGGAAGGACTACTCAGAGTGCACAGTTCACCACACAGAAACTGCCCAAGGATCTGTTCTCCCCCAGTGCTCACCCTAAACCAGAGCACTTTCTGGGTCAGAACTTTGCTCTAAGGTGTCCAGACCTATTTGGCATTTAGCTCTAGAGTCCACTTTGGCTCTGGAGTTTCCTCCAAAGCAGTGTTCTCCAGATCCACCCAGCCCACCTCTGCTGCTCTGCTGCTCCGTTGATCCAAGTTTTAAGAGGCAAGTAAAAGAGTTAACACGGAAAGAGTAATAGTCAAAGACAATGCTGCCGCCGGGTGGAACTAGTCCCAAATGTGTAAGTGAAGAAACCGAAGTTCCAAGAAACTAGCTGCCCAAAGCCGTCAGATCTGAAGGGCTGTGTGCCCATCTGGAAGTCCTTAAGCCTACCCTTTATCTTGAATATGGCTCTCAAAGCGTGTGGATTTGACGTAGAGGCAGAAGCCGCGGGTAGCACACGGCACAGAAGGTGCTGGGCCAGAGGCGTGGCTTGGTGACAGACCACTTCCCTTTCACATATAGGCTTGATCCCCAACAGAGGTGGGGGATGGGTAGGCAGGTTCTCTGGTTTCACCGCTGAATCAGACGCTCATGGGAGATGTGCCCAGGTGATATCAGTGCAAAGTCGGGTATGAGGCCCACTGGCCTAGCCCTGGCGGCCCTGGAAGCCTCCTTCTAAGTGCCTGTGCTACGGCTTCATGTTGATTTTGCTTTTTAATTCATTTAATAGCCTTTTTTTTTTCTTTCAGAAAACCAAGGGTCAGGACAGTTCAGTAATGTTGCCCAGGATTCCCCAGCTTTTAAGTATTAGAGTACCTGGGATTTGAGTCCGCCCATGCAGTCTCTGGGTTGTTAAGCCACTACACCCAGGTTTCACACGCCTCAAAAGGTCCACCCAGTATTTTGGCTCACACCTTCAATCCCAGTACTTAGGAAGCTGAGGTAAGAGGCCTGTTTAAGGCTAGCCTGGGCTACACGGGGTGTTCCAGCTCAACCTGGACTTCAAGAGTAAGACCTTGCCTCAAAAGCTAACCAAAGGATCAGTCTAAAGTATTTTAATGTAGTATTTCTAAGTTTTCCCCACAGAAAAACCAATGAAACAAAGCCCGTGTCTCATTTTATCCCAGCAGCCAGTATGGGTGGCAGCTTCTCTCCCCTATACCCACTATAGGCACACCCATTGCCTTGCCTCAGAGAGCCTGAGGCCCCTTCTTTTCATCTTCTCAGCCACACCAGAGCTGAGGCGTCATGGATGCTGGAGAAGGGCTCTGCCACTTCAGTACACCTGAGCCACTGGTTATCTCCAAGCTGTAATAAATAAATCCAGAGAGAAGTCTAAATGCAGAACAAAAGGTAAGTAAGCAAAGAAAGAAAGACAGAAAAGAAGGGAGGGAGGGAGGGAGGGAGGGAGGAAGGAAGGAAGGAAGGAAGGAAGGAAGGAAGGAAGGACTTTGTCTTCAAACAACAACAACAAAGCCAGAGGCTGGTTATGAAGCCCAAAGTCAGCATTGCACACCACAGTGACAGTGAGCTTGGTGTCCCCACTAGAGCATACATTTCAAAGAATTCTTTGCTTGGAATGTTAGGCCATTAGAACAAGAAGTACTGACAGTGTCTGGCTGTAGTCCAGGTGAGAAGGCCCCTATGCAGGCAATGGTATCTAACAGCTAGATGGGAAAAGAGGAAGGTGCTGAATTTCGCACCCCACCCAGCCCAGAGAGAGCCCACCAAGATGCTGCCTATTCAGTCCAGTGCAACAAACACATCTCCAGCTCCTAGCACACGCAGACATCTAGGACACAGTGAAGGTCCCCGCCTACCGCATGGTCCTGCCCTCCTAATCTCCTAAAACGGCGAGGATTAGCAGGGAATAAAGTACCTAAAAGTGGGGAAGCCGGGAGATAGAATGACCCTTCGTCCCATCCCAGTGGGTGCTGCAGGGACTATGGACTTTGTCTCGCTCAGTGCTGCAGCACCTCACCCGATGGGAATGAATGTGTGAATGAACGCTGTGCTCATTCAGAAAGGACTTAACAGACAGAAGGAAGAGGAGTTGTGCTCCATGGCCCCCTTCAATGGAGCATCTTGTTTGCTCACCAAGGAATACGCAGTGTCTACTGCAGTATCCTTGGTCCTGGCCATAGATGAAATAGACTATAGAGGAGACAAGAGAGGATGCTGGGAGCACAGAGGCTCAAAGCTGGGGTGACAGTCCTGAAGGGGCCCCTTTTGACTGGCTTGCCAGCATCAGTCAGCAGGACTGTGCCCACTTGGGACCCTGACCCAGCTGAGGTGCTTTGCTCTCACCCAGCATTCATTCCTTCCTCTCCCAGCAGGTGCAGCTGGAGAGCTCACATGGGGGCTCTCTCTCCCTTTCTCAGGATTCACTGCCACCGTGAGATGCAAGGACACAGTCACGGAGCCCCACGCCACACTCTCTGCAGGGCCTCTGCTGCAGACAAAGCTGAAGAAAACCGAGGGCGACTGAGCAGCCAGCAATGGTTCGGTGTGGAGTCAGGGATCTGACTTGAGCCTGCCTGCCCTGTCTCTGCTGAGTGACCTTGGGTCCCCACGAAGCCTTGCTACTTCTCAGCTTCTGATGGGTGGAAGTCAATTGACCTTCCGCTGAACGATTTCCTTCTCACCAGAAGCCAGAGTAGGCCTTGTCTGGGTTTAGCAAACCCATAACAAAGTAGCTAAAGTAGCTTCCTAACAAAGGTCAAGGGATTCCAAGGGAAACAGCCCAGCATCAGGCCCTGGCAAACTGGTAGATTCTCCATTTCTCTCCAGTCATGGTGACCAAGATAAAAACGTGTGCACAGAAGGAAGCAACCCCTCCTGCCCAATGTACTGAGCTACACCCACAGCCCAGTCCTACAGCAGCCTTTTTTTTGAGACTGTCTCATGTGGCCTTTCAGTAGCTGAGGATGACCTTGAACTCCTAATCCTCCTGCCTCCACCTTGCAAGTGCTGGGTACATTCACCATGACTATTACCTAGGTGGCCTTGGATTCCTGGTCTCAACAAACTTCCTGCCTCTTCCTTCTGGGGAACTGGGATATAGACATGTACTTCCATGCCTGACCTGACCATGGCCTCTAAAAATATGTATATGTATGTATATGAGTTTGCATTCATGTATGTCTATGTACCAAGTGAATGCTCGGTGTCCTAAGAAGCAAGAAGTGGGCATCAGATTCCCTGGAAGTAGAGTTACAAAAGGTTATGAACCAACACGTGGGTGCTAAGAAACGAACCTGAGCCCTCTGGAAGGGGCATCGAATGTGGGGCACAGGACTGAACTCAGATCAGATGGCTCAAGTGGCAAGGGCTTTTACCTGCTTATCTGTCTGCCTCTCTTCAATACCCTTGTTGACTCAATGTTATTTCCTTCCTTCCTTCCTTCCTTCCTTCCTTCCTTCCTTCCTTCCTTCCTTGTCATTTATTTATTTATTTATTTTTGAGACAGGGTTTCTCTGTGTAGCTCTGGCTGTCCTGAAACTTGCTCTGTAGACCAGGCTGACCTTGAACACAGAGGTTCTCCTGCCTCTGCCTCTCAAGTGCAGGGGGTAAAGTCATGCACCACCACACTTGGTGCATTATGTTCTTTCAAATTCTTCACATGTATCCACCCATTCATCTTTCATCAAAACTCTCTGAGGGGATCTTAGTTTGAGAGATTAGCTTGCCCAGGATCACACAGCTAAGAGGCAGAAGAGTGGAGACTTGAATCCAGGTCTGTCCTAGGTCAGAGTTCCAACCCCCTAACCACTCACAGCTCTTGGTCTTTTGCCCTGGTCCTGAAAGGCTGGAGCTCTGGGGAAGTCAGTTCTCTAGTGCCCAGCCACAGTGTCTGCCCAGTATGTACACGAGGAGTAGATGGGTGGATGGGTGGATGGGTGGATGGATGGATGGGGGATCATTAGTGCATGCTGATCTCCCCCTTGCTAGCATTGTCCTGATCACAAGCTTTTCTGAAGCCCAAGGCAGGGGGTGCCCCAGGGTAAGGAGTTAGGTGTCAACCTTGCTTGCCCTCACCTTCTAAAAATACTAAGGAAGCATGAGCCCTGCTTGTCACTACACAGCTATCCAGTTGCTCCCTGTACGGTCCCTGTCTGCCACCTAGCACCTGCTCTCTCAAGCCTTCTGCTTGACAGCTGCCTTCATCACTGCATGGCTTTCCCTGTAAGACCAAGGCCAGATTTGCCTGAGAGCACTCTGGAGCACTGGGGCAAGCCCAGCTCCTCAGGCTGGACTTTGGGACAGCAGGGCAGGTTTAGGCTTGCATGTGAGAGCCAGCCCTTCTTTGGCCAGGGCTCTGTTTTCATGTGTATGCCCTGCTAGCTTATTTGGAGTTTGAACCCTAACCCATTTGAAGGCCTTGGACATTTAGGACACGTGAGTTGAGCACCGCCTTTCAGTTCCCCTGTGACTTGGGACCTCTATTAGTTACCTGCTAAAAAGGGGACACTAATATTACAAAGGGTGATGGTGTCATCCTATTTATAAACCCATTTATATACATATATAAGTCTAATAGAATATGGACTGAACTGTAAGTCTTATCTCTAGGCCGTGGCTAGGATAAATTCTCTTTTTTGTTGTTGTTTTGTTTTGTTTTGTTTTTTTTGCTTTTGTTTTTTCAAGATAGGGTTTCTCTGTGTAGCCCTGGCTGTCCTGGAACTCACTCTGTAGACCAGGCTGGCCTTGAACTCAGAAATTCACCTGCCTCTACCTCCCAAGTGCTGGAATTAAAGGCGTGCGCCACCACCGCCCGGCAGGATAAATTCTTTTTAAAACATTTTTATTATTTCATGTGTATCAGTGTTTGCCTCAATGTACATCTATGCACCACATATGTATCTGGTGCCTTCAGAGACCAGAAGAGGCATTGGATGCTCTGGAACTTGAGTTTCAGACAGATGTGTAACACCATGTGAGTGTTGGGAATTGAACCCAGGGTCCTCTGAAAGAGTGGTTAAGTGTTCTTAACCACTGAGCTACCTCTCCAGCCCCCACTAACAGACTCCTTTATTCCTTTTCCTTCTCTGTTTGTTTGTTTATTGATTGGTATTGAGAATCATACCTAGAACCTGTGTGTACTGGACACATGCACTGCCAAGCTCCCGTATTGTTTTATATGGTTACTTTTCTTGTTGACCAAATACTTGATAAGGAGCAACTTAAAGGAGGAAGACTCTGTCCTGGCCAGCAGTTTGAGGGCATGGCCCATCACAGCAGGAAAGCTTGGCACCAGGACTGTGGAACAGCTGGCCACATTGTGCCCACACTCAGAAAGGAGATGAATGCTGGTACCCAGCTTTCATCTGAGACCCAAGTCAGCTGTCAAGTAAGAGGCCCAAGGGAGCAGGTGCTAGGTGGCAGATAGGGACCGTACAGGGAGCAACTGGATAGCTGTGTAGTGACAAGCAGGGCTCATGCTTCCTCTATATTTTTAGAAGGTGAGGGTAAGCAAGGTTGACATCTGCTTCCTTACCCTGGGGCACTATTCTAAGGTGGTACTGCTGACATCTGAGTGAGTCTTCTACTCTGTTAAACCTTTCCAGGTAACACAGTCACAGCTATGGTAGTGGGTTTCCATGACATTTGTTTATTTATTTATTTACTTATTTATTTATTATGTATACAGCATTCTATCTGCATGTATGCCTACAGTGCAGAAGAGGGCACCAGATCTGATTGTAGATGGTTATAAGCCACCATGTGGTTGGGGGAATTGAACTCAGGACCTCTGGAAGTGTACCCAGTGCTCTTAACTTCTGAGCCATCTCTCCAGCCCCCATGACAATTCTATATCCAGTCAAGTTTACGGTTAAGACTACCATATATGCTTTTTCCTTTTTCCTCAGAATGAGTTATTTATTTACATATGTGTGGATAGGATAATTAAAAGATAGCTTTCCGCTGGGCAGTGGTGGCACACGCCTTTAATCCCAGCACTTGTGAGGCAGAGGCAGGTGGATTTCTGAGTTTGAGGCCAGCCTGGTCTATAGAATAAGTTCCAGGACAGCCAAGGCTATACAGAGAAACCCTGTCTCGAAAAACCAAAAAAGAAAAAAAAGATAGCTTTCCAGAGGTGACTTTCTTCTTTCTTTCTACCATGTGGGTCTCAGGGGTTCCACTTAGGTGATGAGGTTTGACGGTATGTACCTTTATCCAGTAGCCTGATTATTTTATTTTATTTTTTATTTTTTTAGTGTTTTTTTTTAAAAAAAGATCAGACATGGGGTCTGGAGAGATGGCTCAGAGGTTAAAAACATTGATTGCTCTACCAGAGGACCCTGGTTCAATTCCCAGCACCCACATAGCAGTTCACAACTGTCTGTAACTCAAGTTTCATAGAGTCCGACACCCACACACAGACATACGTGAAAGCAAAACAAAAGGTACCAGATACAGGGTTGTTCTTATACGCTCCTGGGCAGATCACTTATCTAATGTGTTTGAGACCAGGAATATAGCACGCACATGAAATATTCTGTTTTAGGAGGGTCTCTGCCTTAGGAGACAGGAGGATTGTGAGTTTGAGAATAGCCTGAGTTACAACATGAAACCTGGTCTCCACAAAGGGGTGGTGGTGGCACTAAACCAAGTGTGAGGTCTGTCTTAGGGTTGCCTGCCTGATCAGGTCCGGAGAAGCCAAGTACAGGAGAGAAGGGTTAGGGGTCTCTGACAAAGAGGACCACAGGCCCTGGGGAAAACAATGTCCTCTTTGCTCTCCCTGTACTGACCTAAAGTTGTTCTCTAAACAGTGAGATCCTCCAGCTTAGTGTTCATTTTGGGGTGAGTGGAGATTCCCTCCTTTTGGTCCATGGTACCAGCAAGGCTAGAAAGGTTTTAGCTCATTTCTCAAGAGGATTAAAAAGCAGTAAAGCACAAATTCAGACACCGTCAGAGGTGGAAACTGGGAGGGGAAGTCTCTCCTTTTCACTGGAAAGGGCTAACCCCATTTCAAGGCATTCAGTTTCAAACTGTGGGCACTTTCCCACAAACTAGGTACAATAGGGTATTGCTCACAGCCTGTGTCCAACCTTGTTATTCTATAAACAAGGAAACAGCTACACAGTGAGGAAACCTTCCACTGTCACATAGCAGGTGTGCTGAAACAAGAGCTCAGGTTTCCATAGCATCCACCAAATATGCCCCCCAGGACAGGCCTGTAAGGCTTGGCTTGAGACAGCCCTCTGCAGGAATCTTTCACCTCCATGACTATGTTCTCAGTAAGCAGTCACTTTTGACCCCTGTGGGACTCCATTCCTTGGCTCTAGAGGTATGGAGAGGGATTCAGATCTATATGGAAGGTACCTACCCGTCCTAGCTCTAAGCCTTTACATACACTGCATGCAGATGGTAGAATTGCCTATGAAGGAGGGGCCCATAGCAAAGGGAAACTGTCATCATAACCTGTCCCAGGGGCCGGTGCCCTCCCTGGAGACTCTGTGTCAGGGTACAGTGGTAATGGAATAAGTTTTGGCCTGGAGCAAGAACAAAACCAGAGTGAATCAGGGGTCAGAGTTGGATAACCAGGTGAGTCTGCATGCCCTGACATCTGGATTTGTGTGTGTGTGTGTGTGTGTGTGTGTGTGTGTGTGTGTGTGTGTTTGCAGAACCCTGGGGGAATTCGGGCACACTGCAGCCATTGCAAAGCCCCCAGAGACAAAACAGTTTCAGTTAAATCAGCAACAGAAAGCATACAGAGGGTATCAAACCTGTGGACTGCTCAGAAAAGGGTATTTGCACATGAGTAATCTTACAGACTCACAGTCACCTGGGAACTGGATCCGGGCTGCATTTAAGGATAAGCAAAGCCAGCGACCTTTGTAGAATGAAGTCATGCTTAGGGCTATCTGGCCAGTCATATCTAGAACTAAAAGGAGAAGCCTCTGAGTTTTTCAGCCCTGCTATTTTGAGAACCGGTCTCTCATGGTTGCTTTCCGTCTTCCTATCCTTCCTCTTCCTCTCTGGGAGCACCCCAGCCAGCTCCCCAACCTTGGGCTTCTGTAGCTAAGGGCTCGAGCATGTCATAGGTATGGAATATGTATTTGTAGGCTACAGATTGCTGCCTCCTTCCCACTATTTGGGATGTTTTCACTTCCCTTT